ACAGAGGGGGTGATTTGGGGACACAAGGGGGTGATTTGGGGGACACAGAGGGGTGATTTGGGGGACACGGGGACGCTGCAGTGCCACAAGTGGGGGGACGCTGCGTGAAGGGGTGACACAAACAGGGCGCGGCAGGGCTGTCACTGAGCCCTCCCCGTGTCCCCCTCCCCAGGAGCTGTGCCTGCTGCTGCCGGGCGCTCGCCGCATGAACCGGGGCCGTGCCGAGCTGGGCGCGCTGGTGGCGGCGTGCCGGGCCGCGGGGGTCACCGACCTGCTGGTGCTGCACGAGACCCGCGGGCGGCCCGGTCAGTGCCCCGGGGGTCCTGGGGGGGCTGGGGTCACCTTCTGGGGTCTCTGCTTGTAGGGTAGGACCTGGGGGGCTGCCTTGGGAAGGGTGAGCTAGAACAGAGCTAGGCAGAGTTAATTAATAATTCATTGAAAGGATTTCTTCAATGGATCCACCTTGGGCAGCTCAAGAGCCAGGGTGGCACCCAAGCTGAACCAAAATGTTATAAAATGGACAACTGGTCACAAGGTCTCCCACTTTTATAAGTTCTGGTTCATTTGCATATTGGAGTTAATTGTCCAGTCACAGCTTTAGGTTATGAAGCTCCATTTTTTTTGGTTTTGTCTTTTCAATCCAAATTGTTTATGCTCTTGAGCCTGAGATTTGGAACATTTGTCCTTGGTCCCCAGCTAGAAAATGAATTGTCTCCTTATTCTGTGCACAGAGCTTACAAACATTTAATATAAAGTTCAGACCCACACACTGTGGCAGCACAGAATCTGAAAAACATAAAATCTAAACCCTGAGGCATCAAGGGAGTGGGTGGAGCTAATCCCAAGGGGGCGTGGCCTGTTTGTGGGTGTGTCCTGATCAAGCCCCACCCCCCAGATGGGCTGACCGTGTCCCACCTGCCCCACGGCCCCACCGCCCACTTCACCCTGAGCGGGGCCGTGCTGCGCCAGGAGGTCGGGGGGCTCGGGGGGGCCCCGCTGGCCGCCCCCCACCTGCTGCTGCTGCGCCTGGATTCCACTCTGGGAAAAAGGGTACGGCCAGAGGGGGACACTGGGGACATGGGGGGACAATGGGGACATGGGGGGACAGGAGGGGAAAGGGAGACACACACCTGGGGGGATGCGAGGGGATACGGGGGGTTACATGGGGGAGGAAATGGGGACAATGGGGAGGAACACGGGAGGCCCCAGGGATGGGGTGTCCCCATCCCTGTCCCCATCCTGTCCCCATCCTCTCCCCATCCTGTCCCCATCCCTGTCCCCATCCTGTCCCCATCCTCTCCCCATCCTGTCCCCATCCCTGTCCCCATCCTGTCCCCATCCTCTCCCCATCCTGTCCCCATCCCTGTCCCCATCCTGTCCCCATCCTCTCCCCATCCTGTCCCCATCCCTGTCCCCATCCTGTCCCCATCCTCTCCCCATCCTGTCCCCATCCCTGTCCCCCCGTAGGTCGGGACCATCCTGAAGCACCTGTTCCCCGTTCCCCGTCCCGACAGCCGCCGCGTGGTGACCTTCGCCAACGAGGATGACGTCATTTTAGTGCGGTGGGTGACACGTGGGGACACGGGGACACAGACAGACCCCTCCCCAAGGGCCCCTCTGAACCCCCCCTCCCCACAGGAACCATGTGTACCGGCGCCGGGGGCGGACGGTGGAGCTGGAAGAGGTGGGACCCCGCTTCCAGCTGAGGCGTGAGTGTCCCCTGCTGTCCCCAACAGCCCTAAAAGAGTCCCCATGTGTCCCCAAATGTCCCAAAACCCCCCCCCGTGTCCCCTCCAGCCTACCTGATCCGCCTGGGGACCCTGGATCAGGGGGACGCGGCCGACGTGGAGTGGCGCTGGCACCCGTACACGGCCACGGCCCCCAAGCGCCGCCTGCTCAGCGCCACCTGAGCCCCCCAGGACCCCCCTGGAGACCCCCCCAGGTGGGACCCACCTGCACACCTGAGACCACCCCGGCAGCTGAGACCCCTCTGGACTCCCCCAGGCACGGCTGGGTTTCTCACAATCAGTTTTTATTTGTCATAATAAATCAGTTTTGTCTATATTGGGTGCTGTAAGGATCAGCCGGGTTCTGCTGCGGCCCCTCCTCTATGGGGGGGGCCCAGGGATCCAGACCCCCCCTCACACCCGGGACCACTCGGCCGGGGGGTCCCGCGGGCCCTTGGGCTTCCCGATGCGGAAGTTAAACCCTGGGGGGAGGAGCAGGGGGTCAGTGAGGGTGGGGCTGGACATTGATGTCCCCCTGAACGCCCCCCAGACCCCTCCCAGACACCGAGACCCCCACCAGGACAGCAGGGACCCCCATGCTCACCCAGGCAGGGGCCACTGCCAGTGTCAGTGGGGGGCGTCACGACCTCGTAGGCGCCATCCGTGGGCCTGGGGGAGCCTGGGGGGGGGGAACCAGGGTCAGAATTATCGATCCTGGGGACCCCTGAGCCCCCCAAACCCCCCCAACCCACCCCCACTCACCTGCCGGGCTGGGGGAGGGGCGGCGCACGGGGCTGCCCGGCAGCGAGCACGTGCCCGAGGGGGCGGAGTCTCGTCCGAAGGGGGCGTGGTCTCTTCCCAAAGGGGAGGGGCCTCTCCCCGAAGCCCCGCCCCCCCGGCGGGGCTTGTTGACCACGGCGTAGGTGACATCCATGGCGGGGGGCGCGGGGGGCTCGGCCGGCACCGAAACGCTCCTGTGGGGAGGGCAGTGGAGGGGCGGCGAGGGAGGGGACACCTGCCCGGGTCACCTGTCCCCGCTGCGAGCACTCACCTGAGCAGGGTGGGCCGCAGGGCCCGGCGGGCGACGGCGTCCTGGTACAGGGGGGGCTGGGGAGGCAGGGGGTCACCTGCGGCCCCCCCAAACGGGGGCTGCCGGAGCTCCCGCGTCCCCCCCCCAACCTCTCGGGGCCCCCCGAGCTCTTGGGGTCCCCCCCTGAACGGCCGGGTCCCTTGTGTCACTTCCCCTTTCCGGGGGCAGGAAGTGCCGCGGCCGCCCTCGTGCCCCCACCCCGCCCCGGATGCCCGCGGCCCCCCAGGCTCGGGGCTGGGCCCCCCCAGGACCGGGGTCCCCCTCTCACCTGGAGCCCGCGGGCCAGGCTGAGGTGGCCGGGGGGCGGTGGAGGCGCCATGGGGGTCCCGGGGGTCTCAGGTGTGTGGAGAACGGAGGGGACCTGGGGGGTTTTGAGTGCCCCGGGCCCCGCCCCGGGCTAGAGCCCTGCCCCTGGGCTGGGCCCTAAGGCTCAGCTGGGAATTCCCTGTGGCTATTTGGGGGGGAGCCTGGGGGTCCCTATAGGTACTGCAGGGGCTGTTTTGGGGCTCTCTGTGGCTTCATGGGGTCCCTATTGCCCCTCAAGCGAGTCTGGGGGGGCTCTATAGACCCTGCAGAGCCTCTGCAGGGTTTGTGGGTGTCCTTATGGACCCTCCATTCCCTGCATGGGTCCCCTGGAGCTCCGGGGGTCCCCTGGAGCCGCCCCGGTGTGTCTGTGGCTCCTGGCGCGCACCCGGAGGCGCTGAAGGGGCGATGGGGCCGAGCAGGGGGAGCACAGCGCCCCGCAGGGTTCTGGGGGACCCCCAGACATTGAGGGGTCCCCTATGGCCCTGCGGGGGCGGGGCCAGGCTCCTCATAGCCGCTATAGGGATCGTTGTGGCCCCGCCCCTCGTCACGAGGCTCCGTCCCGGCCCCGCCTCCGTGTGACGTCACAGGGAGTAATGAGGGACGGGGGTGGAGCGGGAGAACCCGCCAAAAGAGGCGTCACTCTTTAGGCACGGCCTCGCGCCCGCTGATTGGTCGGCGCGCGGAGGCCGCGCCCCCTTCCTCCGCGCCGGGCGGTGATTGGTGAGCGCGGCGGCGCGGTGACGTCACGGGGCGCGCGGCGCGGCAGCCCCGGAAGCGGCGGTGGCGGCGGGAGCGGGAGCGCGGCCGGTGAGCGCGCGCGGGGCGGAGACAGGGCGGGGGCG